TATATAACATGTTATATTAAAATTATGTTGCTGTTATATTGTTGATGTAACTTAACCAGTAAATAACATAATAACATAACAGTTTTATAACATAGTTATATCGCAGTTATAAAGGAAATTAAGTAACCTCAATATTAATAACACAACTCCACAAAAAAAAAAAAAAAAAATTGTACAGCTGACTAGACCATGTTTATCATATGTTTTTTTGGGTCGCTGAATCCGAATCTGAGGTCCGTTGGAACCCATCACGTCAGGATTTTTCATAACCTCAAAAAAACAGGTCCAAAGACCCAGTAATTCCTCACAACTTTAATCCATCGATTCTTCAACACAAAGAAACCAATAACCACTCATCTGGTTTTTCTAATCTACATTAATATGACTCAATCCTTAAATCCCTTGACCCAAAAAGGCCCAAACCCCATAATATCTTAAGAACACTGCCTAACCTTTAAAAATAAAATTTAACAAGAATCGGAAATGTTTTAGTACTCTACTGGACTTATAGCTACAGCGTTTTTGTTCACATTTGTTCTTGATAACAAGTTAATGTTTTTACTGGTCGTAACACTTTCTTTAGTGTGTCTGTGCCCAGGGCATCTTTTGGATAATCGTCCGTCGCCAATTCAGACACTATGCCAATTCTTCACTTGATAAAAAGCGCTTTATATTATCCACTTAAAGTTTAAGGAAGAAAAATTTTATAGTTTGTTCGCTTTTTAAACCGCAAAATATAGACGAAACCGTTTAACGCATAAATAATGTAAGAGAGACCGGCACGATAATTCGAAATTAATTTTCTACCAAGGACTGTATAGAAAATTACTGCAATAAAACAGCAGATAATGACATTTTTCTATCATCCCAGATAGCCAAACCTGTGCGAGCAGATTTTACGCAGAGTCTGTCAACAGTGTCTGTTGACAGAATGGCAACAGACTGCACACAGAAACTGTTTTAGCAGTCTCTGACGACAGATTGGTGACAGACTGCGCGCAGAGCCTGTCGACAGACTCTGACGTCAGACTGACGGCAGATTGCACGCAGATACTATTTCCTAGGCTATTTAATTCTATCAAAGGCCATATGTACGTTATTAAATGGGACAGTTTGACATACACACCATGTAAAACTGCTGCAGAGAAGTCAAGATAATTATATTGTGCAATAATTGTACACATATACAGAATAAAAAAAATATTTACATTTTAAAATTGTATTACTTATTTTTTATAAAAAAGCAACAATAATAGAGAAATAACGTGTTATAATCGCGAACAGTATTAGCGCCGTCGGAACGCTTCAGGAGGAACCGTTTCGACTGCGCTACAACGAGGAAGCGGATGTGCAACTGCTGCGCTAAGCATCACCTTGCACATTCCGCATTTCGGACTTCGAGCCGAACCACACCAAATAATTACCAAATATGGTAATCTCCTTGTCGCCAGGCACCCCTTCCGACAAGACTACACAATATTATAAAAGAGCGGAGAAGATCGCCCGCCATAGACTTAACACCTCGGTCTCTCGCCGCGACATACGCAACCGACACGCGGTTTGCACATTACTATGAGAACTCGGGAGTAATAACTAAACACGCCTAAGTACGGTTATAAATAAAGTCTTTTTATATATTAAATACAAGTAGCGGCTACAAACTTTACTACATTCCTACCCACCGCCACATACCCTGCCGCGCCCGCATCTCCGATTCCGAACTCTTTCGTGTCCCGGCAACATGGGGCAAGTATAGAACGACAAACGAGTACAAGTATAGAATGGTACAACGGTTAAATGGCCATTTAAAAGCGTACATATGTCATCCCTGGTAAAAATGGTTCTCATAAATTTTCATACAATTTCTCATCTTATTATTTTTTTTAATGTTGTTATGTCATTAAATCTGAACGATTTAACCGTCATGCAATAAGTACTGAAGGCAGCAGCACCGAATAAAATATTAGTCTCGCTATGTAAATAACTTTTACAGAATTTTTTTGATGGTTTATTTAAAAATATATCATGCTTCGATTTTGATAAAACTTAATACAATCTGAACGGGACGATCGACCAAATTAATTCGCACATGTAAAAATACAGTATTTTATTAACATGATAGAAAAATTTCATTATCTGCTGTTTTATTGCAGTAATTTTCTATACATTCCTTGGTAGAAAATTAATTTCGAATTATCGTACCAGTCTCTCTTACATTATTTATACGCTAAACGGTTTCGTCTATATTTTGCGGCTTAAAAGGCGAACAAACTATAATATTTTTCTTCCTTAAACTTTAAATGGACAATACAAAGCGCTTTTTATCAAGTGAGGAATTGGCGTAGTGTCTAAGGCGACGGACGATTATCCAAAAGATGTCTTCAGTTCAAGTTCGAATCTCACTAGAGAAAATATTAAAAATTATGAAAAAATAATGTAGAAAAATTTTTTTTGTCATAGTATTTTATGAGTATTTATGAGAAAGCGCTTATTCTATGAGTAATTATGAAAAATTATGAGAAAATTTAATTGAAGAACCTACGAAACGACAGGATCTGCGCGCAATCTGCAGCCAATCTGCCGTCATAGTCTGTCGACAGGCTCTGCGCGCAATCTGCCGCCAGTCTGTCGTCAGAGTCTGTTCGCAGACCCTGTCAACAGTCTGGCGGCAGATTGGGGACGCAGATGTCTATGGATCTGTCGACAGATCCTACTCGGATTCGACAGATCCTGTCGACAGTCTAAACTCAGTCTGCGCGCAGATTGCTTACTGGGAAATTAATTCGCACATGTAACCCTTATAGAAATATCATACTAAGAATTATTGATAATTACTTATTATCCAGTATTTTTAATACTGAAAATAAGTAATTATCAATGATTCTTAGTATGATATTTCTATAAGGGAAAAGTACAGTATTTTATTAACATGATGGAAAAATGTCATTATGTGCTGTTTTATTGCAGTAATTTTCTATACAGTCCTTGATAGAAAATTAATTTCGAATTATCGTGCCGGTCTCTTTTACATTATTTATCCGATAAACGGTTTCGTCTATATTTTGCGGTTTAAATGGCAAACAAACTATAAGATTTTTCTTCTTTAAACTTTAAGTGAGCAATATAAAGCGCTTTTTATCAAGTGAGGAATTGGCGTAGTGTCTAAGGCGACGGACGATTATCCAAAACATGTCTTCAGTTCAAGTTCGAATCTCACCAGAGAAAATCTTAAAAATTATGAAAAAATAATATAGAAAAACTTTTTTTTTCATAGTATTTTATGAGTATTTGTGAGAAAGCGCTTATTCTATGAGTAATTATAAAAAATTTGAGAAAATTTAATTGAAGAACCTACGAAACGACAGGATCTGCGCGCAATCTGCCGCCAATCTGCCGTCAGAGTCTGTCGACAGGCTTTGCGCGCAATCTGTCGTCAGAGTCTGTTCGCAGATCCTGTCAACAGTCTGGCGGCAGATTGGGGAGGCAGATGTCTATGGATCTGTCGACAGATCCTGCTCGGATTCGACAGATCCTGTCGACAGTCTGACGTCAGTCTGCGCGCAGATTGCTTACTGGGGTGTTAATAAAATACTGTACTTTTACATATGCGAATTAATTTGGTCGATCGTCCCGTTCAGATTGTATTAAGTTTTATCAAAATCGAAGCATGATATATTTTTAAATAAATCATCACAAAAATTCTGTAAAAGTTATTTACATAGCGAGACTAATATTTTATTCGGTGCTGCTGCCTTCAGTACTTATTGCATGACAGTTAAATCATTCAGATTTAATGACATAATAACATTAAAAAAAATAATAATATGAGAAATTATATGAAAAATTATGAGAACAATTTGTACTAGAGATGGCATATGTACGCCTTTAAATGTCCATTTAATCGTTATACTATTCTATACTTATACTCTTATTTCTCTATTATTGCTTTCTATGCTTTCTTATCAGAAAGGTGTAATACAATTTTAGAAAGTAAAAATTGTTTTTTATTGTGTATATATGTATAAATTATTGCACAATATAATTATCTTGACTCCTCTGCAGCAGTTTTACATGGTGTGTATGTAAAACTGCCCCATTTAATAACGTATATATGGCCGTCGATAGAATTAAATAGTCTATCTAGGAAACAGAATCTGCGCGCAATCTGCTGTCAGTCTGTCATCAGAGTCTGTCGACCGGTTTTTTGCGCTGTATGTCATCAATCTGTCGTCCGAACAGATTCTGCGTACAATCTATTGCTATTCTGTCTACAGACACTGTTGACAGACTCTGCGTAAAATCTACTCACGCAGGTTTGGCTATCTGGGATGGTTCATTAAAAAATACCCAGATAGCACCAGAATACCCAGAATTTAAAAAAAATTCAAAAAGAATTCAGTCGTATGTCACCAATTCTGAGTTCATTTTTAGATACAAAAAGAATTCTTTTCACTGAACTAAACTCTGAAGAATTCTTTTTGTATCTGAAAATTAATCTAGAATTGGTGACATACGACTGAATTCTTTTTGAATTTTTTTTAAATTCTCTGTGCTATCTGGGATATCCATCAAAAAATGAAAGTGTAGATACAAAAGAAATAATAATAGATAATTAATAATAATAGACCAAGATATTTTTTTCAAGAAATGTGAATTAAAACATTATATTTTATACATTATATTTCCAGCTATATAGTACGCAAAATGTTAAAAAGAATCCAATGTTATTTATATAGAAAAAGCTTGATAGTAAATAATTCGACAGATCACACTTATACTCATAATTTTTATTTTTCAACTTTTACTGGTCATGTTAACAATAGCGAATTAATTTCTCCGCCCCATGTTTATTATAATATTTTATATATATTTGATATATATTATAAATTATATATATTATATATTTCAAAATTTGAAATTTTCTCTACTTAATAAAAATTGGGTAATTGGGTATATTTTGCTAAGTTATTCCTTCATTAATTTAATAATTTTCCACATTATCCTTAATAATAATTCATGTATTTCAACAGTCTCTTACAAGTAAGCTAACATGATGAACAATTTTAACTTGTATTTACCACTAATAAAGGGTTAATGGTTTTATAATATTAATAGTCATTCAATGATCAGCGACGTTGGAATAATAAGATCTAAGTGTCCTACGAAATCAATCTTCCTCGCAGTAAATGAAAGAAATATACACGGTATTTATTGGAGAGGGAAAAAAGAAAGAAAAAGAGAGAGAGGGAGATAGGTCCGTTTTTGAAATGAATCATTGTAACATGATATTTATACTAAATTACAACTTTTTATAATATTACGCAATTTATCAAAATACTATGTACACGAAATTTCACGAACAATTATATATATTTATATATATACAGGCTGTCTCATTTCTGTTACCGTCTCTTCTTTTTGCAGCCACGCGTTCTCGTGTACGAATTTAGAAATTTACTTGCAGTTTTTTTTTTTGTAGAAAGAGACGGTCTACGAAAACAAGTAATTAAGCGATCGATGCACTAAATCTGGGACACCCCGTACATATATCGCAAAACTAATTAACGTTGCAATATGAATTAATTTACAATAAAAAAAAGGATATCTTTTTACAAGTACCTTTTTTATCTACAGCTCGCATTTAGCCACGCATGCTCGTTTTAAGTATGCATTAAAGAGATTCTCTAGAACGTCATCAGGCTACACAGCCATACAAACGTACAATGTATATATATTTGGTGTTATCCTTTGATTTTTAGTGTAACGTAAAACTAAATTACTCTGTTCCTTGTTATTATTATATACATACATATACATACGTACATACATACATACATACATACATATATATATATATATATATGTATGTATATGTGTATATATATATATGTGTGTGTGTGTGTGTGTATGTATGATTTCGTAACGTTTGAATAATCAGTAAAGTGTTTACGAATTTCGATTTTCATCGCTTTAAACGTATAAACTCTCTATCTCATCATTTTCAATATATCTCCATACATTTTTATGTATTTTTAGGAATAATAAATTAGGTCAGATAAATATTTTTGAAATACAATTTTTTTCTTTTTTTTAAAGCGATTTATCTATACTACAGATAATGCAATTACATATAGGTGATTATATAAATTGCTTCTATATAGCGAAAATGGCGATGTAAGGAACAAAGTAATCTAAGTTCACGAATATTTACTAAAATATTCATCTGAAGTAGAATACTCGCGTTGCTACTAATAAACTTTCGTTATAAATAACGTAACTAATCGAACATGGTGACTACGGCTTAACGCGCTTACATGAACTTTACCATGTACATCCCGACAGTGATGCTATGTATATAATACCTCGAAAATCGTTATCTTTAAAACAAGTTCGGCGACTCGATACTGTTTGCCATTTACCGTTCTCTCTCTCTATCGCTATTATTATTATTATTTATAATTACATGTAACAAACATTAGAAATTTCCGATACGCCCGTGCGGCGGCAGTCGATCATAGAGTGAACCGATTGGTAATATTATAATACTCTTGTTAAAATGTAGAAAATATACATATTCCGTGGCCTGCGGGGTTGCGTACAACTGTAAAAATTGTTACAAGTTCTCTATAAACATACGTACATACGCAAACGGCGATCGATGAATTATCCTCCTCTCTCTCTTAAAGGCATTATTATCGATTAAACTGAGTTAACTTCCGTACGAAAAAAAGTATGCTCGACATCCAGCGGAGTATGTGTATTATTATTGTCGATGCTTTTTTTCCAGCATTACAATAAGATACAGTGCGATACTCCAGGATCGACGGATGGGCGGATTGATTTAAGTGTACCACACACAACGTACTCTCACACAGTATATAAATATAATAACAATCTATACAAATATTCTTCTCCGACAAAATATTTCTAGTATCAAACTGGCTTTTGTAGTACAATCGTTTATGAAATATTCTCCGCGATCTTTTGTGAAATGGCTATACCGCAATAATAATTTGTGAAATATTTCCCTTTTGCACCTGGAAATCTAAGAAGAAATGTAGCAATTGTGATATATTTTTTCTTGGATTTCTTAGAAATCTAAGAAAACGATAATATATATGCGAAACATTTCTTCTTAGATTTGAAAATCTAAGAAGAAATGATAATTTGCGATAATATTTCTTCTTGGATTTGGAAACTCGGCATCGTGTAGAAAATTGACACACAACTCCGACGACGATTCCGTTCGAACGGTATTTCAATGATCAAATGCCGATCTCAACGGGACATCTTAAAATCGAAAAACTCATCTTTAGCTCGTCCAAAATCCATATTTGAAGAAAACAATATTTGTGTCAACACATGTTCGTCACTAGCGTTGCACGTATGACACGCCAGTCTCTCATAAGAAGCTCGTGTCGCATGTGCATTAATAAAGATAACTTTTCTTTCTATGTCTATATGAACAAACCAAGTCTGTTTTATACAATTAAGAAAGGAAAAGAAAGACAAAGGAAGAAAAAGAAAACATGAGAAAGGACTTCCAGATGACAAACATATTCTAAATAACGTAAATTCTAAATTTATTTCATCATACGAAGTTTCTCGCGGTTTAGTAACACGCTTGATTCTAAATATGGATCTGGAAGGATCTGTAGAATACAAGTCTTTCGATGAAAAATTGACATAAAAATTTCGAGGCCGGCTCTAGGTCGAAATATTCCGGAACGAATTTTTGCAATATATACATACATAAACCGTGATCGCAAGAACGTAACGACTGCCCCGCGTGTGACGGGACGTCTCCAGCTTTAGGCAAAGTTGTACAAATTATACATATTCGCACCCGTGTTCTCGTATGTCGACGTTCTCAGCCCTCACTTACGGAAGATAGCGAGCTACGCGTAGACTCAGTCGTGTTGTGTGTTAAATCGGGAAGATCGGTCGGCAAGCACAACGGTATTGCGCTGGGCCCGTAAATCGCCTCCTGCTCCTCCAATTGTAACGCGAACTGTTCCTCAAGTTTCTGCAATGCGGACGAAAAGTATTAGAGCGCTGTTCCTCGTGCACATCGAACAGAAATATTATGCGACAGTCTAGCGTGTGAACGAATTGGTGATATGACACTATTGAAAGCTAAGGATAGATTATAAGAGAATGATAAGGATCTTTGATATTCAATTAGTCAAATAGAATAAATAACAAAGACCAAACGAGAACTTGTACGCTGACGTCGATAATCAGACGTTACAATTATATTAGTTCTGTCTTTGCACATCGATATTAGTGATTTTCTAAATATTTTCTGTTAAGCTGGATTTAAAATCAGCTTTAAGTTTTTGCCCTTTGAGTATTACTCAATTACTATGTATAACGTCTATCGTCTTTTAATTTGTATTAGTATTCAATAAACTAATAATACTACTATTAATAATAATACTAATATTAATAATAACATCAGCGTAAATATAGGATGTCTGATATAGATGGAAAGGATTAGGAAAATAGTTAAATAAAGGAATAGAAAATAAAAGGGAAATAGTAAAATAAAGCAGAGATATATAAAATAAAAAACGATAGGTAAAATAAAATAAGTTAAAAGGAAGTATGTAACAATGTGATATAGGAATAAGTTAGTGAAAGAAAATGTATTTATAATATTTGTGATATTAGAGTGTATTTGATATAAAGACTGTAGTAGATTAGAATAAGAATATTAGTTGTATAAGAGTATTACTAAGAGGTATGGAAAGATGTTTTTGTAAACCAAGTCTCTTTCTTGATTGTGTAACTAAAGTAATAAATACATACATACTAATAACATCAGCGTATAGAGAGCGTCACGTTTGTCCTTTACTGTTTATCCTATTTAGCTAAGAGTAAATGTTTCATCTTCTCTATATCGTAACTAGGAACAGAAGGGTGAATTATAGCGTACTCGCAGGTGTGAGTGCGTGCATCATATGTGTGTAGCAATAAAATTAATATTGAAAATGAACGTCAAACATTTCGCTTCATGTCGGACTTTCCTCAATTAACAGTAAGAACATATGTATCAGCTAAAATGAAGAATTTAACAATATTCTGAATATCTCATGAATATTATAGTTACGAATCGTTCACATTCAGTAGAAAAAGTTGCTCTGTAACTGTTGGGAAATTCGTAAATCTAATACATGCTCTTAGATGCAGCCAAGATTAAGAGTATACACCAATGAGATTCAAGAATTTTGCAACAGTTGCAAAGCAGCTTCCTCTGTTAAATGCAGCCAATATTTCTATCTTCCTGTCAGATGTTTGTTTGCAGTATAATAATCGGTCTTACAGACAATATATAGTGAACTAACCTTGTGGCTATACTTTGTGCACAGCTTTGAAATCCAATTTGTGGAATCTCTTTATAATTCTATTACAGGGGTTTCTTTCGTGGAGGGTTATATTCGTAAGGACTGTAATACGAACTAATTTTTGTGGTATGTATGTTTGTGTGTGTGTGTGTGTGTGTGTGTACGCTATTATTAAACAACCATGATACGGAACCCTCTTCAAGGAAACCGCTCATTACACGTTACTTTCACTAACTGTAGCACACATAGCCCATGGTAACCGCACACTTACCCTGTTATTTCGGTAAATTAACTGTTTAAGCTCATAATTAAGCAACATAATTTACGACACGGTGATTACATCGAAGTACATGGACGAAACCATAACATTGCGATGTTTTATAACATACACAGTCCTAAGGATACGTATACTACAAATTACATTATTCATTTGCCCATGTTCAGGCGTGTTATGTCTTATTTTTGTTCTAATAAATAATCTCTACCTTGGTAATCTTAGTTTCTAATTCCGCATTAATATGTATTAAAAATCAATTAATCATGCTTCCGTCCTCTTCCATTTCCTTCTTTTATCATCAAATTCTTTTTCCAACTTCAAATCAGGAGGGAAATGTGCAGTTCAATGAAAGAGTAAGAGGAAATTGGAACATTAATATATATCTACAATAGACTAAATTTTGCATATATATTTTGTAAATCAACAGATAAAGATTTCATCTTGTATGTACTTTCCCTTACTCAGATCCCTCACTCACTATCAGATAAGAAAAATAAATTAATCTGCCGTTATATTACATAACACGATTCTATTAATTGTATACACGCACGTCCTAAATACAGATTTTACACAATATGTCACTATTTACTAATTTTCTGAGCTTGTTAACGACTTTCTTCCTCTCTCTCTTTTTCTCTGTGGATAAATGTATAAAAATATATATTATATTCCATATGTACTGATCGACAAATAAGTAGAACCCAAAGATATTGTATTACTATTAAAGCACCATAAAGAGTAAGATAATAGAGTTCACGAGGAATCTTTTAGTAGCACATCCGAAGTTGTGTATTTCGATCATTTAGTTACAAATGAAAAGAGTGAGAGGAAATATGGGAAATTTTATATTATATATCATTGACAATATTATTATTGACTATATTATTAAGTAAATCATAGTTTGTAGTTATGAGTTATTATGCGATTTACTTGGAAGGAGGTATATATATAATATCATTACATAATTTTTTATCTAACAACTGTTTGATTAATTAATATGCAAATACTGTGCAATATGTCTCAAAATATAATTGTTATAATATGATAATATAATGTGATAATATGATTGTTATTCAGATTTATAGCAATTTATTGAGTTTCCAAGTTATATAAAACAAAAAAATACGGAAAATATTATTATACATGCAAGTTTTCAACTAATTGTCCAAAGAATATAGAATAACTTGTCAGTGAACAAAGCGTTACAAAGCGTTCTTCCATTGGACATACGTAAGAGTATTTTAGATGTCTTTCTTTTTTTATAGAGAAAATAATTTACATGTCTTATCTCATATTTTTTGTTTCATTTTCAGTAAAAAGTTCTGATACCAAGTGGAAAGAACTATGGTGTCTTGAGCGATGTTATTAGTTTCCCTAAAAGAGTACATAAAGTATGATAAATTTTATATTTAAATATTACGAGCATATTTAATAATTTAATTTATATCAAGCTACTATGATATTATTATCACGATATTATTATTATATTATTATAATATTATTATTTTGTTATCTCTATTATCTTACTCTAGAAAGCAAAGCAAAGCAGATTATCGTTAGTTGCAGTTTTTCACGATTAGAAAAGTGTTAGATAAGCGAGGAAGTGCCATTACATACATACACTTAGTTTCAATACGGTTTGAATATTTTTTGTGTGGTTTATAATGCAATTGATGGCTTCAATGAGAAAAATTGTTTTTGATTAATTTCCAGAAATTAAGTTTCTAATTGCGTTTCTACCTACATTGTTTACATCGAAAACTTATATTTTATATCGAGAAAGAAGTTCAAATTGTTTTGAAACTTTACGTTTATAAAACAAAAGAATCATACGATCATCTAACGTTTAGATAAATTGCACTAAATTGTGACACTTCATTGGAACGTGTGTACACCATAAGTCTGCTTTAGTTGAACTACCTGAACTAGTGCAATAAGTTAGAGTGAAACAAAATATACTTGTCTTACTCTAACTTATTGCACCAGATACATAGACAGTTCAGCTAAAAAAAAAACAGACCTCATGATTTAAGCGACAACTGTTAATATCCACTCTCCTCCCTTTACTATTATAAATTATGATAAGGAATATACATACGGATATTTATATGTGTGTGTATGCGATATCAGGCTAAAACTTGGCAAGGTTTGTTTCTATATACAGTTTCATAATTATACATATAATGCATCTCAAACTATCCCCTTAAGAGTACAACACACATCAACAAAAAAACACATTGAAGGCACATTTAGATAGACGATACTATCTACGGGCAGGTGGCACTATGTCCGGCTTGGACTGACTACGCGAAAGCATGCCGTTGGTGAAGCCTGAGGGATCGGAACCGTTAATCCTTAGCGACACCCTAGGTATCGTGAACGACGGAGAAGTGGGAGTGGAGCGTGGTAAGCGTGGAGATTTCTTCCGAGAATTGTCGGAAATCACGGCGAACTGTGAGTACTCGAAAAAGGGAAAAGAGAGACCACTAAGACCAGAAGAAGAAGAAGGTAAATAGTCTCGGTAGCGCGTTGCCAATGCTTCCTTTTCAGCCGCCAGATCAGCTTCTATTTTCTATAACAAGGTACACAACATCAAGACTCATTTCAGTATGTCGCGACTTTGCTCAGTGTTTTCTAGATACTTGGATCTGCAGATTTCTCGTATCGAGCTAACATTTCTTCTCTGCTGCTAATTCTTGCGCTGATCGCGCTTATCGTTTCTCATCTTGTGATTCGACACAGTGACTTGAATTTATTAATGATTAGTCATGCAAGAGTCAAGCTCCGCGCAAAGCGACGCCGGATACAAAAGCGGACGGATTCGTTTTTACAAGAGTTACGATGATAATCGAGTTCGTCTCTGTCACATCGGCTCACAGGTCCCGTATCGTTGCGTCTTTTTGCGTCGGTTTGCGCCGATCTTCGGATCGAACTATACTTTCACACTGTTATTGCAGCAGATGCGTAAGTCGAGAATGAAATTTCGAAAGTGGACAAGCATATCATCGGACTAATAGAGAATTATAGAAGGCGATTATTAGCAGGCCATCATAAATCAATTTTCACACCCAAAAGAAACATCGATAAGATTCAAACGCAATCTTCCAGAAAAAGAATATAAACACGGCTACTATCGTATTTCGCGGTAGTTTCATATTTACCTGCTTTCGGGGTTTAAGTTGCGCTTTCCACTCGCGGAGATCTTTACTGTATGCCTCCTCTTGCTCCTTCAGCTTCAGCGTCTCATATTCCATTAGCATCTTTCTCTTTTCGTTCTGCAGTTGTTCCAGCTCTTTGATCGTGGCGTCACTCTGCGCTCTCACCTCTTCTAACTGTCTGGAATGCTTCAGTTCGAATCTCTGTTGCTCCGCCCGGTACCTCTTCTTCTCGTTCTCTTGGAATTTCTTCAGTTTCTCGCGTTCGGCATCGGGATCGGGCGCGAGCACGGACGACATTGAAATCCTCATCGACTCCCGGAACATCATCTCGCGTGCTTTCATCTCATTGCGGATCCTCTTGGGTAAATTCCGGCGCTCTACCGTCTGGCGTTTGATCAGCTCCTCTTCCTTCCTCTGATTCATTCGCTTCATCTGCTCCAGTTCCTTCTCGTGGCGTATCAACATTTGATGCCGTTGCAGGAAGAATATATCCTTGAGCTGCCTCTTGAGCAGTTGCTGCTTCTCGTGTATCTGCCGTTCCTCCTGCTCCCAGATGGCAGCTTCCCTGCCGCGCATCAGTTGCTGCTTCTGCTGCAGGAACTGCCGCTCCATCAGCGCGATTTTCTCGCGATAGCCGTCCGAGAGTCTCCTCAGTGACATCTCGTGGCTTTCGTTGAGCTTTTCGAGGAAGAGTTTCTCCCTCTCTTCGTGCTCCGTCTCGAGCTTCTCCTTCCGTATCTTGAACGCGTTCTTTCTCTTGTCCTTTGGCATCAGGTCTATCTCTTGCTTGAGCAGTCTCAGTTCTTGCTTCAGGCCTTCGCGGAATTGCTTCAGCTCTCTCTCCTGCTCGCTGCGGATCTTCTTGGACGCCAGTCTCAGGTCGACCTCTTGTTGCGCCTCCGTACGTTCGATCTGCTGCCTCTGCTGTCTCACGAGTGCATCTAGATCGGACTCCGTACTGCGCTCCAAGATTTGCCGTTCCTGTTCGAACCGTTTCTCCTGCTGGTCCTTGTTGAATTGAGCCTTCTGAGAAAGGTCCTGAAACTGCTTTTGCTCCATCTTCTGCAGCATCTTCAGTTCCCGCAGCTCCTGCTTTCGGAATATCTGATCGTCGTAAACCTTGCCGTTCTCGTCATCACCATAGATCACCTTCGAAGTCGTCGTCGTCACCACGACGCCGTCGATCTCAAATTTCCTCGTGCGTTTTCGCGTCTTCTTCTTCAGATTCATCATCTGTATGTCCTCTTTCGTCCTAGTCGGCCTGGAGGATACTTCACGATTATAGTCAGGTTTACGACGCAGAACGACTTCCTCGTCGACTTCTGTATGCTGAGCTTGGTTCAAGCGATTTTCCTTATTCGATTCCCTGCTGTCTTGACTAATCGTAGTGGAGATGGACTCTGCGTCGGAGCGATCGATGCTCTTGCTCGGTGTATGCGATCTTATAGAGCTGGAGTCGCTCTGAGACCTGGAGCCCTCGAAACTGTCCGGAGAAACCCGTTTCTCTTTGAAGCCCTTGACGTTAACTTCTTTCGGCTTGACCGTCTTTATGATTCTGTCCTCGGTGTGATGCGGCATTTCGTTCTTGATCAAGCCATTCATCTTCTTCGCGCCTCTATCATACTCGTCCGTGTCCGGAGATTCAACAGTCGTACTGGCGACCGTCACTTTACCGCTCTCGTCACCGCTGTCGCTCTTCAGACTCGACCTTTCGTTCAAACTTAGATCGCTGTGAGAAGAGCCAGTGCGGATGACATTGTGCTTCTTAGATATCGACGAGTCCTTCACCTGCTCCTTGTCGTCGCCTACCGTGACCACGGAGACGTGACTGGTATCTTGCAGTTCGTCCACAATGGGGCTCACTATTACCACCTCCGATTCGTCCAACTTCTTGCCGATTCTCTTTGATACGTCGGTAAGTATAATAGCTTGTTCTTGCGGCGTGTACTCCAGACTATCCAGACTAGGAAATCCGTCGTCATCGGTAGAATTGTCATTCACTTGAGTCTTGTTCATCTCATTGGCGACTATAACGACCTCCGACGTCGGTGAAGTGCGTCGTGGAAGAGGCGTCGTCGCGGACGCCGCTGAGGTGGCATCCACCAACACAGGCGGATGCGTCGTTACAACCGTTATTTGGCTGATATTACTTGCCAGACTATTCGACAGGTCTGGCGAGTCGGCAGTAATGCGGACGGTCGATGTGTTTAAGCGTACTTCTTGCTCGGGTTGAGCTTTCCCTACAGCATATATCATAATGTAAATAAAAAGAAAGCAATGCCAAAGCAAAATCAAGCCTAAAACAGCACAAGATATCGATTGCGATATATAAGTTTTTCGATAAATATTGAAAAATTGATAAAAAATATCTTGTTTGGCTCTTGTAGGTCTGATTATTTTTTTATTTGTTCATTATATACTTAAAAAAAAAGATATATGTCCGTACTAGTCATTTTATAGATTTGATCTACAGAGCTATATACTTAATGTTTGTATAGTAGAATTTAAAAAAAAAAAGACCTCATTTTTTATTACATTTATCAAAGAGCGTTATTGAAAAAATAGATTAAATAATCAATTAGAAGAGTAATCAAATAAAAAATATAATAATTAATAAAAATTATTATTTTTTAGGCCAATATTAAAAATAAGATATTCAAATATTACCTGTAATAACGACTATATTGTCCCCGCTGCTTCTCCTCGAGCCGCTTCTGCTTCTAATCGGCGTCGATGTGATCACCGACACGTTAATTCCGGAATCTTGTTTCTCTGAGCTCTTGTCGTCCGAGCTCACTGCGTCCTCTTGTTCTGTACTCGACCACTTTCTGCTGTCAGTTTTCGTATGTAATTCGTCCGAGAAGCTCTCTAGGGAATCGTTCCTGGACGACCCCGCGCTGCGGCTCTTCGCGGGGCCCTCAGTCTTTGTTACGCCGAATTGTGTTTTGATATCCTCCGTTGAGCTAGCCTTAACACAGTTCTTCTCCGACAGGAACGTCGACGCGACGGATATATGTTTTAACGTTTCCATCGAGGCGTTGCTCTTCATTTTCTTTCCAGAATCCATGGACAATCGTTTCTCCAATACGGCGTTCAATTTCTCCCCAACGGATTTCCGTTTCTCCTCCAAAGTTTTATAGTCCTCCTTTTCTCGCGATTGCGGATCGTAATTCGTTATATCGTCAACGGATGACAGTTTGTTTTTCGCTCTGAATTAAAATATTATTTGTAACAAATATTATTTGTGATATTTCCAGTTATTAATTCAAGTTTAACTTTATATTTAATGTGCTAGTAATAAAAAGTAGTAAAAAAGTAACTAAAAAATATAAAATAATACAAATAAAGAGATAAATATAAAATACTTACTCATTTTTATCTTGCAAAGACAATTGCTTATTATATATTATCTTTGACAAATCCTCGATCATCTCGGGCTTAACAGGTGCCGACTTGCGTTTTTCGTTCATGCCTAATTGTTTCTTCGAAGAGGGACTTGATTTATTGTTCATTAATTTCTGTTGATTCTCGAAACGTTTGATATTATCAAATAGTTTAGTTCTATCTTCGCTGTCTGCTTTCTTCATCTTTTCAGAATTATCCATAAATTCGTTTTGATCTTCCATCTCCGAATCCTTCAGATCTTTGATATTTGTTACTTGTGGATCCGCCATTTTCTCGTTCTGCGGCAATTTGTTAACTTGCTGCGGTTTATCTTCTGTAGATTTCTGTTTGTCCATCAGATTCACGATGTTAACCTTCTCGACATCTTTCGGACCGTTCTCTTTCTCCTCGCTCTTACTATCTTGACGCATGGGTGGTGGCGGGGGCGCCGGCCCTTTATCTCTAGATAATCTACGTTCACTCGTCTCGCTTGGCGGTGGCTTAGGTGCCTGCGCAAATAATTCATATGCAATTAACATATCTCTTCTTCACTTTTCTTTTCTCGTTGCTTTAATCTAAAATACTAAGATACTCCAAGTAATAAAATTGCAAGATGCTATTCTTCAATTGCCTCAGTCACGGAAGTTTCTTAAAAGAATTTAATATTCCTAAAACCTAACAACTTTCTGCAGGTATATATAGCTAATTTAAATTTCTTTTATCTTCTGTTTTACTTAGATATTCTTTTCTGTATTAAACTATTTAAAAATATAAAAGAATGTTAACCTACAAAAGAATTAGAAAATAAAAAAAATTTAGAAATCTAAAAAATAAAATAAAAAACTTAAGTCAGCTATATATCTGCAGATAATTTTAAAGTTTTGAAATGTTAAATTCTTCTGAGAGACTTCTGTGACTGACGATTAAAAAATTACATTAAATTATTTAAATTATATGTCAATTGCATGTGATGCATTTCAATAATTTTGCATACCTGTTTCTTCTCAACGGATGGCTGTATATTTTCTTTGGACTCCGCCTTACGTAATCTCTTATTCTTGTCCTCTTTCTCGCCATCCCGATTGATCTCGCGTTTGTGACTCTCCTCCTTTTTCACAGACGCAGGTAATGCCACGAGATTTTCTTTTTCGGCAACTGGAAACGAACAGAGGTAAGAATATAGTTTGCGTTATGCATATCAGATTCAGCGTTCTCAATGGCGATACTTACTCTTAACATCGGCATCAGTGCGCGTAGACGCGGAGTCATCTGCGATTTGATCCAGCTCCAGAGGAAGCTGAGATGTGCGCTGCTCCTGAAATACAAATGTACACGTTAATTCACAGATGTGAAAAACGAAGAAAGAAAGGAAAGATTCTCAATCGTTTGATCTCCGTTACATGCCGCAAGTGACATGATATAAAGTAACAAGTAACCAGATACACGGATACAGGGATATAAACTAATGTCAGAGCTTACAGATTACAATTATAGTTTGTCACTCAAGTACAAAGAATACAAGAATAATTACGGAAAAGAAGAATACAGTTATCAATTTAGAGTAGAAAACTGAAAAAATGGAGCGTCGAAAGTAGATATCATTTCATGCTGCAGATAACATATAAATATTCTTTCACATTGGCATACATTGGCATACATTGGCATATTCGTGTGCCTTAAGGAGATGTTAAAGCTGAAAACTTTACCGACAGAACACTGACATTTTTCTGCAAAGTTTACGTCGTATTGGTTACACAGAATTACAAATCCTTTTACGCAATGAAAGTACAAAAATTAATAAGAGCATTGCTCGATATATGACGAAAACGAACAAAAAAATTTTTATGTAAAATCTCAAGCTGTCAGCGTAATATTTGCCTAATCCAAAAGCTCCGCAGTTTATACATATCGAAAGTGTGGATGCTTCAAACAGAAAAATTTTGAAAAACATTGCTTACCTTCGCATCTACATTTGGAAGCTTAAAAATATCGAAAAAGTTTGCAGAAAGATTTCTACACATATATGAATAGGTTTTTCGTTGAATATAATAAAACACACTTTCATGTAAGTTCTGTATATACAAGAAATACGAAAAGGATAGTGTGATTATGTTCGTGACGATCGTCTCTGCATTATCGACATTGTTCGAGTTCGTCATCGACTCTAGCATCCCCTTAAGATTATGTATAACGTGGCTTAATCAGGATTAGTATTAATCCTGTCGTCACATATAACGCAAAAACGCAAGCTACTAACCTGACACGCATTGGGGTAATGAGGCTGGCGAGGGCCAGGAGAACCGCATGCACAGCCAAAGTAATTACATTATCACAAACACATTTATCATAATCATATGGTATACTTTTTATATATATGTCAAATGTTATACTGTGACACTACTCTACATATTCTTATAATCTTAGATAAGTAACGTTATTTTCGATCTGTTATTATAAAGTAATGGTTAAACTTTATTCCTCAATTCTTTCATTCCTAAATTTCTTGAATAAGCGAAATTTCACTCAAAAAGTGGAGTGACGAGTGAGTCAACCGAATATGTGTGATTTTTCATTATATAAAATAAATTCTTTATTCTGAATCGTCGAGTAAATAATTTCTCTTTAAATTAAAGGATGAATCTGATGTATCACACCGTCACTGAAACAAATCGGTTCTCTAGTCAATTGTAACATTTACTGTTATGAATAAAGAATCCATCTTGAGTTTAAGCTAAACATTCAAACTTGTGACTTTAATTAACAGTATTTTCACAATCGCTTTGAATAAATTTTCGTTCGTTTTGATTGAGATCCCACCCTAAGAAATTTGGAGAGTACTTTTTACATTTTTTGGAATGAAATTTCACTCTGAAAGTAAAATGACAGTCGAGTCATTCGAATTCGAACGATTTTTCATACAGAGTGAATTCTCCACTCTGAACTATCGAGTGAAAATTTTCATTCAAAATTGAAGAGCAAATCTGATACCGTTATATATGTGTATTCACTTCAACCGAATGAAGGTGCTCATTCTTATGGAGTCAGAATTCACTTTAAACTTGAATGAAATATTCACTTTTACGATTCCAAGTGGCAATATTTTTATTCGTTTTGAGTGAAGTTTTAGCACAAAAAACTGAGCGTAGCGAGTCTTCAAAATTAAATAGTCAAGGAATTAAGATTAAGAATTCAAGTGAGTAAGTTTCACTCGTCATTACTGATCTAGGATTAGTGAATCATTTTTGACGTCGACTCGAGGTGAGAACAGAGATCTCTCAGCAGATTCGAATTTTAAATGCATGCATCATCGTAATATTCAAATAAAGAATGACATCATGCTATACAAATACGAACAGTCATCTCTATATCTCTTGTTCGCGGAAGAATTTAGATCCTCTTATCAGTAAAGTAAAATGTTTTTTATTCTTTTGGAGACGTAGCGTTTGTGACGGAACTACTAGTTTTAACTGGTATAACTTCTGGATAATTACGATGATAATCTATTCTTTGTCAGTTTTCTCTTTACAAATAGACAAGGCTAAACGAAACATATATGCTTCATCTAGAAGCAGCTTACCAATTCGCTGATATTGTTCTCTGTGTTTTTTCGTTTTTTTCGCCTTCTACAATGACGGAAGCATGTAACAGTGTGTATACATGTTAATTCTGCATTGTAAAGAAGCCGTATGTGTAGCTATTTGAACGATGAAATGGATGTGTCTAACATGCTGTCGCGCGTTAAGAATACGAACTCTTCTTGCACTAGAATAAAATCTCTCGCGCGGAAACTAAGGTTCCAACGTTGAACTATCGTTTGTGCAATTTCAATGCGTCTATACAGTAGAAACTAACGCAGATAAAACGCTATTAAAATTATTCTTCGTGTAAAGCGCATGTATTAGATGGTAATTCAGTAATCATACAAAAAATATGCGGCTGCATAATTACGAGATATTTATCTTCGGAGTGCGATGTATATATATTCGCACGTTATTTAATATATTCAGTTTTGTGAATTGAAAACTCTATCTCAGACCAGTCGCATTGCTTGAATTGTGTGTATGATTCGCATAATTAACATGTACATAAAGAACATGTGAATAAAGAATAAGGCTGAGAAAGAAAGTAAAAGAAAGTAAAACCTACCTCCGCCTCCTCGTCCACTAATTCCTCTTCGACAACGTCCGCTTTATATTCAAGCAACAAGTCCCTGACAGATTTTGGATCTAAATTTCGGCTTATAAACGGATGTTTTAACAAATCGTCAGCTGTAGGTCGTGAGCTCGGGTCCTTTATAAGTGCTTTAGCAATAAAATCATTAAATTCCTTACTCCATTTTCCCGGCTGATCCAGTTTCGGAGGATCGCTTTTCTGTATTTTAAGTAGCACTCGCATCGGCGACATTTCATGGTTCGGTGGTTCCATTTGTGCAAACTCTATTAGAGTTATACCAAGAGACCAGATATCCACCTGAATGATTAAGTTTACGTCTATGTAAAAGCTTGCGCGTAAAGAATCGAAAGTACATGCATTCTGTTGAAATTGCAACGCGATTTTCCAGTTTTTGATCGATGTAGCGTGCACGCAGCCTACCTTAAAATCGTAAGGATTGTCTCTGAATGTTTCGCATAAGACAACCTCGGGTGCCATCCAATAGGGAGTACCGATAAATGTATCATGCTTTTGCAGAGTGTGCTTGTTCTTTGCGGATACTCCGAAATCAGCTACAATTAAAGAAATCATTATAAGAAAATTATAATTATAATATACGACAATTATAATTATAACTACAGGATGAATTAGTGACTATTGGAATTAGTAACCTGGAACATTTCCGAAACAAAACACAAAGATGTTTTTCAGAGATCTTTGAAGTTACTTTACTTAGAAAAAAAGCGTTATCACTGTAAGACGCTCTCTTGTAAATAAAATAACCTCCAAGATGTGAAGATCAGCTGTTTTTTGCTTCGAAAATATTTCATGTAGTTATTGATTGAATAACAGTTATTGGTTCGCAATGTATAAAGTAATATAAAGTTAAAAGCTGATCAGTTACAATTAGAGATATAAAATTACCGTCAGATTCAAAATTATTTTTAACTTTACAATTATTTATGATCACATATATTATTACTTATTAAAATGGTAATTTATTCGTAATTTTGGTGAAAATTCGTTGTTTTTGATAGTTTCATATATATTTTAATATATTTGAGATTAAGTATCATATATACATATATTCAATATACATATTCATATTTTCCGTATTAATGTATAAGATAAAATTAAAAAGAACTATATTTTTCTTATATTTACATCAAATGTACATCTGATAATCTCTCAGATAAAAATCTTAAATTGTATATACCACAGTCTAGTCGTTAAAATGGCAAGGTAATAAATGAAAATGCTGTAAGCTTGTAAGATAGTATAAAAAATATAGATTAAGACTGTTTTCGAGATATGAAAAATATAGATTAAAACTTTAAAAATTTTTTTAAGTTTCTCTAGCTACTATATACCTAATTTCCTAATTACTGTGACTGTGTGTGTGTGTGTGTGTGTGTGTGTGCATGCATGCATGCATGCATGCATACATACATACATACATACATACATACATACATATATATATATATATATATATATATATATATATATATATATATTAATGTACAGTATCAAAATATAAGGTAAATAAAGTGTCTTATTCATCAAGGCTAAATGTTCTCCTTTTGAGTTTTATATTAAAATTTTTTTATTTTTGTAATTTTTTTCTAAATTACCATTTTATTAGCTTTCCAAAATTAGCAAGTAATTTACTGTAATTTACCGAGTAAGTTATCGTCAAATTGGGTCATTTTCATCTCTAGCTACAATTAAGTCATTATACGCATTGCAATTGCATCCTAGCGAAAAATCGACTGATTGAATTTTTACCTATTTTAACACCTCCCGCCATAGTCAGCAAGACATTCCCCGCCTTCAAGTCCCTGTGTATGACTTTGGACTTGTGTAAGAAGGCAAGACCCTTCGTCATGTGCTGACAGATATACGCGATCTGCATTTCTGTCAGCGCTTTTTCCAGCTCGACCATTATGGAGTCCACAGCACCGCCATCACAATACTCGATCAACATCTATGCAAATGTTGGTCCTTTTAATCTCAAAATAATCGATTATATAAAGACTCACGAGAAAGTAATCTTTTCGTACTAGAATTGATCAAACCAAAACTTCTGCTGCGTATAGCAAAGTGAATACATACTGATGAGCACAGTTACGCCAAGATACATTGTTTTATTTATCGTAAAAATAAAACAACATACCCACAATTTTCCTTCAATGAAATACGCTTCGTGTAATTCAACGATGTTAGGATGCTTGCATTCCGACAAGATATCTATCTCAATCATAAAGTCGCTTAGGTCATCTTCTCCCTCTAAGGCACACATTTTGGCCGCAGCGAGCTGATTGGACTGCTTATGCTGTGCCTGTAGTAAACAGTGAGTTATTAAACAACATCTACTAGCAGCAAACTCAATCAAACGGGAGAGTGATTCCCTCATGTAACGTTACCTTGTAAACTTTGCCAAAAGCGCCGTCTCCCAGTTCGCCCACCATCTCCCAAAACTCTTCGGGACTGCAATCCATTTTTATGTTGTTGTACAATTTCTTCTTTTTCGCATCATTACCACCGAAGTGGAAGGCCTTCTTCAGATTCGATAAGAACGACATTTTGGCGGTTATATCTCGCAATACTCGCACGTACACTTTCAAGCCAGGCTACTAATACATTTGAACACCTACATGAGAACACCCTCAACAACGCAATCGTCTACTGTACAAAGCGCAATGATTACGTAACAATCGCGTATTAAATTTGTAGTAAAATATAAACTTCACTCGATGAGCTCGCAAAAGACTCAGTAACTGTTATCATTCAGCACTCTGTAACGCGCGTTTAAAACGATGTGTCCCCTTCCTGCGTCACTTTACGCGGAGTTCACATTATTGCAATATATATATATTTTTTAGATCCCTGCTGGATACCAGGGGATCGTGCCACATCTCTCCCGCATCTTTGTAAATTCTAAGTCACAGTTATCGTCGTATCCGAACCGCTGCAGACACAGATGAGAGGAGCGCGACCCATCGCTGACGATCTCCAACGATTATATCACGAATACTGAACGAATACTGAATCAAGTTCTGGAACAGAGAAGAACACAATACGTTATAAAACGTTAGTCAAACAGTCCTCTAATTAGCAGCATTAACTTAATCTCACTCTGATACAGTTTCGCGCCTTGTTCCAGATAATTTCAGATATTTATCTGTGCAATACTGCTCATGTTACCAAATTTATTGAAGATTAAAGAGTCAAAGAATACTTGTTCTACTTGTAATACTAATACCTAATCTAATGTTTCACATTTTTTCCCATAATACAATTCTAACAGTGTTCTGGTAGAGTTTTGGACTTTGCTTTAGAGATAATTTCAGGTAGACCAGATATCTTCTTGGTCTATAATACTGCTTGTATGCTACTCAATTCATTGAAGATTGAAGAGTCAAAGAGTATGTCTCTCCCCCTGCCGTATAATGGCGTATACTGGTAATTACCAGTACTTGTCCCACTTAGGTGATAACAATGTATGATAATAATATTTCACATTTGTTGCCATAATACAACTTTAACAGTAGTGAATAATGTAGAAATTCCATTGATAGAGAAAACTAGGTCAGAGTCAGTGGAACAACATTCCATCAGACAAGATCTATATTTTTGTTGGTTAAGAATTAGAAATAAAACGCCTGCATGTTGTAAAAAATATGCTTGTGACATTCTTCAGAGATAACATCTATTAAGAAAGACAATGTACACACACAATTACACACATAAGTTATAATTTATGGTAGATAAAGCAGCAGTTTCAGAAAAGTCAGATATCATTGATAAACACAAGAAAAAATTATTATCAGTGTTATTGTAAATGTACAAAAGAATATGTGATAAATGTTTTTAAGGAAACTTAGGATAACACACCAAGAAAGGCTGACTAGTTACAACCAAAAATTAAAAATTGCATTCTACATTTTTATTACCAGATTAACACAATCTTACTTAAATTGCAATATTATTGCTCAATTTTCATTGATGAAATGCACACAAATAGCGTGGTCTACTTCAAAATTAGAATAAGATAAAGTAAAATTAAAAACAAAAATGCATTCTGCATTTGATTTTCATATTAACCACTCATTCTGTCCTTTTAAATATTATCCTATTTCTTGAAAATAAACAGGTAATGGAGCAGTCAGACTTTCAAAGAATAAAAGTGACACTACCACATACTCAAATTAAATAAAATTAAAAATAAAAATGTACTTTTTGTATACTTAGGTCCAGGTTAACAACCCTTTCTCTCCCTTTAAATATTTTCTATCTCTTTAAAATAGACAGATAATGAAGCAGTCAGACTTCCAAAGAGCAACAACCACATACTACTATATATTTAAATCAGATTAAATTAATAAATAAAAATGCATTCTGCATATGTAAATTTAGATAAACAACCTATTTTCTCCCTTTAAATATTTTCTGTATCCTTAAAAACAGACAGAAAATGAAACAATCATACTATCAAAAAGCATCATACATTTAAATCAGATAAAATTGAAAATAAAAATAAAAATTCCTTCTGTATATTTATTCCTAGATTAACGACTTATTCTTTCCCTTTAAATATATTCTGTCCCTTTAAAATAAACAGAGAAAATGAAGCAACTAAACTTTCAAAAAGTATCCCAAACATTGAAATTAGATAAAATAAAAAATAAAAATTTTTTCTATATATTTATTCCCCGATTAACAACCTCATTGTCTCATTTTAAATATTATTCTGTCTCTTTAAAATAGAGATTGTAGCGGTTAGACTTCCAAAGAGCAACAGTGGCACATCAACACACATTACACTTGCATGACCCCCCCCTTGCTGAGAGGAAAGGGGAAAAAAGTAGCAGCGTCAAATGCGCCGATCGACGAGTAATATTTCCTTACACTTGTGAAAGCATTTTGAGTGGGCAGTGGGACTTGCGGGACGTCCGGTCTTGCGAACGTTGGAGAGAAAATTCGATTAGGCCGACGAGCTCTCTCTTGGGGACGCTAATGTCGACGCAACCCGCGCACGAAGGGGGCACGCGCGGCCACGGGGAAGAAAAAGAGCGCACTCGAGACGAGGCGAAACGCGAAACTCGTCCACCTCCTCGAACTTCGATAATCCTCTTTGACGCGGCGAAACGACGGCGGGCCGTCGTCCGTCGTCGCTCACAATCGATATAGCGCCGCTGTCCCCCGTCCGCGTTTACATCTCGCGGTAAAGCGATTATGCAGCGAGAGCGGAAACGCGGCGGTGAGTGCGGCAGCGTAACGGGCGATAAGAGCGGAGATCGCGGACGAAACGAAAGAAGCGAGGAGCAGCGAGCGATGAAATACACACGCGGCGAGAACGAGGAGAGAATGAAAGCGGGAGAGAGACGGACTCGCAGGCAGGTAGGTAGAAGGAAAAGGACGAAGAGAGAAAGAGAAAGACAGACAGACAGACAGACACAGAGAGAGAGAGAGAGAGAGAGAGAGAGAGAGAGAGAGAGAGAGAGAGAGAGAGAGAGCGAGAGAG